TATCATTTTGAAGAATCCCATCCCTTTTTAATCTTTCCATTCATTTGATATTAATATGTCCTAACCTCATATGTCATAGGGTAGCATCCAATTCATTAGGGGACGAGACATAAGCAACGTTCTCTTTTATTTTAATAGTAAATAGCTCGTCTACAAGTCGTCCAATCATGATCACATCTTTTCCAATCTTGACCACCACTTTCTCCCCAATGAAAGTAGTTATGAATCCAATCATAAACATTTTAGGAGTCGAAACCAAGCACTTCCTCATATCATGAGTATAAATTGTTTGCTTTAAGATCAAGGTGCTCCCACTCTTCAGTTTCAGCTTGAAATCTCTCACTTCAAGTACATCAGTCTTTTGATTTCCTCCCATATAAATATGTTGCTGTACTGGCCCCATGGGAGTAAAAGAATGGAAATCATCATTGGTGTTTGTAACATGGATCGTAGCCTCTGGGTTAAGACACCAAGAGGCTCCCTTGGGGTCAGCCAGTATAGACTCAAAAACCACGCATGTCAATTCCTTGTTGGTCCCTCCAGATTTGTTGAACCGACAACTATTGGCTATGTGGCCCACCTTCTTGCAAATAAAGCAAGTTCGAGTCTCTCTCCTTGCTCTCTTATTTTCAAAATCTCTCTTTTTGAAATCTCTTTTCTTTCTAAAATAATTACTTCCCTTTCCCTTTTTAAATTTAAAAGATGGTAGAGATTTTACCATATGTACAACATACCTTGGAGTTTGCCTTGAATTCCTCATCTCTTCTTCAGATTTGATTGTCGTGATGAGTTCCTCCACTATTTGTGCCTTTCTTCTAGCATAGAGGGAAGACATAAAAGTCTCCCTTGAATTAGGAAGTGAATTCATAAGATGAATCACTTGCATAGATTCATTGGGTTTCATGCTTATGTCTTCTAACTCTCTGACTAGCGCGCGAAAAACGTGCACAAGATCTGTAAAGTTGGTACCTTCTACCATATTTAACTCATGATACCTCCTCATAGCCATGGTTTGTTTCATAAGAGAAGGTTCGACATACTCTCTCTTAAGTTTATCATAAATCTCACTTGCAATATAGATTGACCCATACTCAGAAGCATATGAGTCAGTCATGGAAAACAAAAGAATGTGTTTGCATCTCAAATTCCTCTTCTTCCAATTGGTGTACTCATCTATGATTTTTTTAGATGAGGCGTCAGTTGGACGACGAGGTCTGTCTTCAAAGAATACCTCATGCAAGTTTTCCTTACAGAGCACAAATTTGATTTTTCTTTTCCATGAAGCAAAGTTAGTCCCATCAAACTTTTCAGCTTTCAGAATCGCTAAGATGAAAGCATGAGCAGCCATATATTTCTATTCTCAAGCAAAAATAAGAAAAAACTCCTAATGACATTCAAGTAAAACTTCCTCTGATACCAATGAAAGAAAGACCTATGTGATCTTTTGCCGGGGAAATGTAATTTTTTTTCTAATAATAATAATCACCCCTTATAATTTTAGCAACGAGATCACTCACAGATGGTCTTATTATAAACAATAGAAAATTTCAAAAATTAAATAACACATCAATAAAATAAATCTCAACTACTTGATGTCATTCATACAACCTAATATTGTGCTTGAGAATATAAAATAAAAGAACAAGCAAATAAAAGAAAAGATGCCGGAGATTACCTCAACCGGGCTTTTTACACCCCACACCGAGTCACCACATCCAATGGCACTGAATCTGCGGTCTAGCTTCAATCTCGAATCGGGATAGCTGATTTTGGCCAAACTAGATAACCACCCTTAAAATCTCTACTAAACCTTAATCCCCAAAATTAACTTAGGCTCCCTCAAATTTTTCTAACCCTTAGTTTCTTCTTAGGTCTAGAGAAGAGAGATAGTACTACCTAGGGTTTTGGAGCCCTCTAAGTTTTCTAACCCTTAGTTTTTTCTTAGGTCTAGAGAAGAGAGAGAGTACTACCTGGGGTTTTAGAGAGAGAAAGTTAGAGAGAGAAATATAGAGGAGAGAGAGTGGGGCGTGCTCCCTCTAGGAGAGAGAGAGAGAGCTTATGGGAGAGAGAGGTGTATAGAGATGGGGGGAGAGCATCCCTATTTATAGTGAATATTAGGCTTAGGGTTTTCCATAGTTTGCTTGTTTCTTGAGATTGAATATGGACCGTTGATCAATGTGATTTGTGGGGTGAGAGACCTAAGTTATCCATTACATAGATGGGCCATCAACATTATGGAAGGTGCGTGGACCATTATCCCCCTTTCCTTAAACCATTTTCCCATCAATATATTTAAATAAATTAAATCTATCAAAGATATAGTGCATACCATAAAATTGCATATTCCATATCATATTTTCTATAAGAATATTTCAATAATATCAAGACAAGATATTCCTTCAATAATCAAGATAAGATATGGTCAATATTTCCTAATCAATATTTGACCATATGCTACAAGATAGAGTTGTCATATTTAATAAACTGGTACTCAAAGTAATCAAGAAGAGGCATCCTAGGGTAGGGTATGCGACCATTTTGTGGCACATGTGGGCCCCCTATCCACATGCCACATGGTGGGCCCATGAGCACTTTGGACCCCCATGGAATTTTATAAAAAAATTTAAAATTAAATAAAATGAATTAATATATATTTGAATTTTTACAACTTTGTAAAATCAATAACTATATTTTTATAAGTCCAAAAATCATAAATAAAATATTGAGAGATTCATAAAAATTCAAATAATAAAATTAAAATCATTTCAATAATAAAATGAACACAATTAAATTAATATGATAGAAAAATGATCCATATGGTTTAGGAATTCAATCTGTAATAATGGGGTACTCCACCTTGAACTGTGGACTACAGACCACACTAGCTTTATCGAACTAACCCAACGTTTCCCATGACCCATAGTCCAAGCAGAGGCTCATTAGCGGGTCACCAAAGTCAGGCCGATGAATCAAGGGGGCGCAATCCCAGTCTGTGGATTACAGGTCCTCCCTTAGAGACGAGTTACGGTCACCACGACCTGATGCGACCACAGCTCTATGGCGTATAGGGGTATGCGACCACAGCTCTATGGCGTATAGGGGTATCTCTCGCACATGCATATGCTTCACTCAAAGGTTCCCGAATGATCTATCAATATGCATGTCTTGTGATGGAACATAGATGAGGTTTTGACCCCCGTCTCAGTAGGCCTACCATTATACACAAGGGTCACACAGTCCCTTTGCTCACTTATCTAGATATAAGCTCCGACTTCATCAAGGGCTAACCCAAAACCTTCTCGGTTTATTCTTTATACCTAGGTACTTTGGGTTTTCCATCCGTCTGACCTAGATCAGCAAGCACAGTCCGATATCAACAAACGCCATTTGCTTAGTATGGTCCTCGAGGGACCACACTCCTACTGAGTTTATGTTTCACTATAATAAAAGTGTTTCAATACACACTCATACGGCCTTTAAAGGCCACATAAACCCAACAAAATGATCTAATGCAACGGTTGTATAGTAGTATAATGAAACCACACATCTAGAAAACCATATTTTTGGCATTTGTATGACCCCAAATTTTGTACACACATTCTCTTCATCCTCATAATTCAATGATAAAAAATTCAATTTGTACCCTAGATATGGTAAAAATTAGTACCCATCCAACAATGAGTCTCGAATATCTATTTGGTGAATTTCAAGATCTAGGCCTTGACAAATTCAAAAACACTTTTTTCTATTTTAGCATTATTAATCTAATGATGATAACGTTATTTAAAAATTTTGAGAATAAAAAAAATCCTTATGAAGTCCAAATCTAACTATCTCAATAAAATGGACAGCTTATATTAATTGGGCTAGAATGAAAACTTTCTATATCATTTTTTTCAAAATTTTCTGTTTTGTTATTGTTCTTCTGAATGAAAAGATTATACATTTAAAAATTTATGTAAAACAAAGGTCTCTAACATGGTTTTTTATTATGGTTGTGTTATACTTCTATACAACTGTTGCATGAAATCATTAGGATAAAATTCCAATAAGTACCTGACAAAAAAGACCCAACTGAAAATGTCCTGATAAAATTTATGAAAAAAATATCACAATAACGATAATTGTCATTTAGATGGAGATAATCCTAGTGAAATCCATGGTACCATGATAAAATTCATCTTCTCGTGATGATACATTGCTGGCCGTTGATTTTTCACGCGATAAATTCTTCATATAATTTATCACTAAAAATGGACATAAGGTTTTTATTGTTTAATGAAGTTTATATTTAACTGGTTTTTATTGTTTTTAATAAAGTTTATTTGAAACATAAAATTTGATTTAGGTAATTCTGATAAGAAGGAATAAAGTTTACCTATTTTGTGGGATTCAGATAACAACGCCTTAATTCATCACCTAAAATTATTAGATTCAAAATCTTTTTATTCCATAAAAATAGATTCCTAAAATCCCTGCATTTCTCTATAAATAGCTTGGGAATAAATCGTTGGCAAATGTTTCACCCGTTAGAAATGTTATGACCGTTTTTTGAATTTCTAGGATTTTTCCTTCAATACATTAAAAAATCATAAGATTTAAATCAGGAGCATGCGTGATATTTACTCTACTAATCGATAAACTCGCCGAGTTTTAGGATGCCTCAGTCACGAGTGTGAAACCTGGAGAGAGGCGACTCCTCGTCAAAATTGGCGTGGCCCTGTCTTTTTCCCAAACCCTAGATTGTCCTACATTGGTACCCTAAACTTCTTCCTCGTACCCTAAATTCTCCATCCCATTAGGTCAAATCTAGGTCTTTTATATATTTGAATCTGACGCGTGCTACCCTTGACGTAGGGCTTCATATATATTGAACAAATGTTTAGGGTCTTTTCCCTTGCCCTCGTTCATTTCTCCATGATAATGGCGACTGTTATTTCCTTTTGCATGTTACCTTTTCCATGACCACAGTGCCCTATGCCTCTTCTTTCAGTAAGAGGATGGCGCCTACAGTTGATAGGATCAGTTCTCTGTCCAACGATATACTCCATCATATTCTCGATTTCATGCCCATTAGAGAGGCAGGAAGAACTTCGGTTTTATCAAAGCGATGGAAAGATGTTTGGGCTTCTACTCCTTGCTTGAATATTTTCGAGACGGAGATGGACCCGATAGATCGAAGTAAGTATGAATGGCCGGCTGTAGTCGATAAGGCACTTCTCCTCCACAAGGAAACCATCCATGGGTTTAAGCTGCATGAGCCGGTCCATCCCGATGGTCATATCGATGGGTGGCTGCGTTCTCTCTGTGGAAGAGGCTTGCAAGATCTCACGATCGAGTTCTTTCCTCTACATGAAGATAACGAAGCGGAGCGATACAAGATCCCAAGTTTTGTTTTCGCATGTAGCTCATTAGTCTCTCTTGATCTAACATGCTGTGTGCTGAGACTCCCATCTGGTTTCAAGGGTTTTAAGTCTCTAAAGTTTCTCTCTTTAGATAGGGTATCCCTCCATGATACCATCCTTGAGTCCCTAGTATCTGGTAGCTCGCATTTGGAGCACCTAAACATCGAGGAATGCAACGGCCTCTCGAAAATCAAAATTCAAGCTCCAAGTCTTTTGTATTTACATATTTTTGGTGATTTCAGGAACATTAACTTGAATAGGTGTAACAATATGAAGAGGTTAAGCATTCACTTGTCAGAAAATTCTTACCGAAATAATGATCCAGGACGCAGGCTAGGCGAGTATCTAAAGGGTCTTGTTCGATTACAGTCACTGTACTTGCATGGGTGGAGTTTGTGGGTAAGAGATCTTTCCATTTCTGGTTACTTTATGAAGCCTTTCTCTTGTTCATTTATTTTAGTAGTGCTCAGCTAGTTAGGAAAAAGTATTGGATTATTCACTACTTATTCTTCATTCTTTATGTCAGTACTTGTTCAAGGCAAATGTACCACAGAGACTCCCTTTGATTAACAGGAATCTAAGGGTATTGGATATACTCATTGATTTGTGGGAAGAAAAGGATGTCTTCGCATTTGTTTGTCTTTTGAAAAGCTACCCTTGCTTGGAAGTTCTTGCCATTGAGGTGCAGTTAAAACTTGAATTCTCATATAACTCTCTTATTGTTTCATTGCTCCTTAATTGACTTTATCACGCATATAATTTCTTATTTTGACATCCCTAAGAACCTCTCCTGGTTTTTTTTTTTTTCATTGAAGGCTTATGATGACACAAATAGAGGCACAGAAATTATTGGAGATTACTGGAAAATGCTGGAGCATTCTGGGCCTTGGTTGGGATGCCTCAGAAATGTTGGGATCAAGAACATTACAGGAAGTGAGCATGAAATACAATTGATAGGGTTCTTTCTCGCAAACACCAGAGAACTGGAGAACTTTTATGTTTATATTGAAGAAGGAATTGAACACAAAAGGCGATTTAAGATAGCAAAGCTATTGCATAAGTTCCCTAGATCCTCTAATCGAGCGAAGGTGCATATCAGTTAGACTCAAAAAATTCAGATACTTTAGACAATTTGGGGGGATTTTTTATTTGGATCCCTAGGGCTTAGACAATTCGGGGTATTCCAGATATGGATCCCTAGTGCTTAAACAATTTGGGGTTTTTCCTGAATTGGATCCCTAGTGCTTCATTATTACTGTTGTTGTTATTTTGTTTGGAAAACAGTACTGCTGTTGTTATTTTGTTTGGAAAACAGTGACTATTTTCTGCTATATATTAGACAATTTGAATGGTGACTGCTGTTGTTATTTTGTTAGGAAAACAGTGACTATTTTCTGCTATACATTAGATAATTTGAATGGTGGTTTGTTATGTTTTTGATGATAAGCATACTGAAAATGATAAAAACTGGAACTTGCTTGAGTTAAATCTTTTTTCTTTCTTAATTTCTAGTGAATAAATGATTACAATTTTGCAGAGACTCATGAAGATAACGAGTCAACATTTGTTTTGCCCTAGAACCCTTCTCCATCCTCTCTCTTAACGTTCTTAGAAAGAATGTCCTAGGCTAGGATCTCTTCTACATGATGACCACCATCATGCAAGGAGCAGAATATTGCAGAGATGATCTCCACCCCATGTATGTTTGATCATGTCATGCGTTTCAAGGAAGCACAATTACGTGCAATAAGTGACTGCTGTATACACATTTTAAGATAATCTTGTAGTGAACACATTTAGCATGATCACATCAAACAAGAGATTTCGACCTTCCTAGAAAACTCAAAAGTTCCTTTTCAAATTTATGTACTTAACACAGAATTTAAGTAGACATACGCGCCCTAGAAAATTCAAGAGTTCCTTTTCAAATTTATGTACTTTAACACAAAATTTAAGTAGACATACATGCACATGAGTTGGATTATGGATGGTGCATTTGGAGAGGGATTGTGTCAGACTAATATGCATCAAACCTTTCATTTGTAGTTCAGATTCAACCATTGGCTTTGGCTTCATATTGCTCAAATTAGCATGATGAGCTTCCTATCTGCAGCTTGGCCGATAAAAATAAAGAACAATGGAACGGGATGACTGTCACGCAGAGAACATGTTTTTCTAACATTAAAGGAAAGTATTTAGTGCATCATGTATGGCAAAGTAGAGAAGCAGCAATGTGTGCCAAAAATTTCCTAACATAGACCAAGTTGGGTTTTATTTTAATTTTTTTAATGCACTTCTATCTCTGAATATTCTCTTAAGTCATCTCACCTGAGTTTGCCTTAATGTCGACTTAAAGTGCAACCATGAGAGATAAAATACTTCTAAAGAAAATAGGTTTGTGAGGATAATGAGAGCTACTAGAACTTGAAGCAAAAATAAGAGCCACTGCTTAACTAAGAAATTAAATAAAATATGAACAAATAAACCTATAGTGTGGTACTTAAATTTTAACATACATTAAAATTTTAAACAATATCTAGAAAGATCAATTATTATGAAAGACAAGGCAATGTGGATTACTTCGATCATTTAGTTCTAGGAAGATATCTAGAGCCCCAGGTCATTTACTTAAGAGGAAAATAGCTTGAATCTAACTACTTAGGAGACACTAATATGTAAGGAGCAAATAAAGAATGAAGGTGGGAGAAAGAAGAGCACTTCATGTATAGGCAAAATGTAGTGGGCACGTTTTACCTCTAAGTTTTCATCCATTGAATGAAAGAAAAAGAAAGTGGAGACAGATGAGCTTCAATATCCGGAGGCAATAATCTCAAGTAATGTGCTGGGCAATTATTGGAAATGGCTTCTGACTGAGATGATGTTCTTCAGGGTTGTAAACTTGTTAATGAGATTTAGCGCGATTTGTACCTTCAATGTAGGCTCGCAACTGTTAACACCTCACCAATCTAAAGATAACCTTTTCCCAATCTACTAGGAAAATATCATTAAATGGTCGAATAAATAATTAAACTACTCCTTGTCATCCTCCTCATAAGGATGATGATGACGATGACGATAGCATCTTTAATGCCGAACTGACCTCTGAAGATGGAGGAACGAACCAGCAAAAACAAACTTTCATGTATAAGATCTAATTGACTACCAAAGTCTAATTATATGTCTGTATCTACGAGCATTTATGGAAGTAGGCCATATATCACAGGTTGCTCTGTAGTTTTACTAGATTGGTAAGCTCTCTCTTTATCATTCAAGCTCTACCGCCAAACATCAGTTGGATAGTAGATACTCAATAATTAGCATGCTATACTAAGCTCCCTATTTAGCATCAGGACATATAGTTGACAATTGGCCCACCTGTGTGGTGTATGTTTGGAGGAGATTTACCAAAGAGGTTGCCAGGAACTTCGGACCATCTGAGGAAATTCTACAAAGATGGCATGTTAAAAAGCTTCCCCTATTTGGAAAAGCTTCAACAGGTATCCCTAGATAAAATTCCCAATATATTCATTGTTAATTTACTTCCCATTTCTTTGTGCATGAATATCTTGATGCATTTAAGAGTAACTTCAAGTGTGGGCCTACCTTTTATTAAGATAGTATGACCAAGCTCTCTCTGTTGTTGGATTGGTTGGTATGGTGATCCAAATCATAGTTTTTATCAATCTATTGATCAATGGCTTTGCGCAAAGAATGATGAAAGTATATAAGATTCCCCGTAATCAATGTGAGTATAAGATAGGTAACTGAACAGATTTCCGTTACTTCTCTTCGTCGCAAGACTTTGGAAGTGAGCTATTCTCAACTTCTGGTTTAGCCTTAGTCTGTAAACTGAACAACAGCTCATCTCCTTATCAGCTGAACAACCGCTCATCTCCACCAGCCATAGGGACGGTAGATGACTGGACACGTGTACCTCAAGACTATTCAGACAGTGAGGATATTGTATGGCGCCATATGAATTACTATGCACAGCAATCCAAAGGTGTCTGTAGCAGCCCACTTGATCTCAAAATATTGACGCCGATCCATTTATTGTCAATTTCTTGATTTATTTTCCTTGTCCTCGTTCCTTCGTTCTTGATTCAAAACATGAAAACCAATTCGATGGACCTTATTGGGAAACAGTGAACTTTTATTCTGAGTCTTGATTGAGTTATGTCGATAGAACGGATGCCTATACTCCAAGGGCTTAAGCATGAAATGGATGTCATAGAGTTCTTGCTATCCAATGAGTCCCATATTGAGAAAAATTCAGGCCAAGGCAAATACTATAGGATATAATGAAACTGGTTTTCCTTCCCAGGACCTATTCCCATGCCAAGATCATCACAACACCATGTGCACACCAAAACATTTTAGAGGATGAGTTTAAGTTTTAGCATGTTGACATGTTACACTTTGAAAAACATGTTATTGTTCTTGGTTATACTATACAGATTTTGTCTGTCATTTCGCTTCACTCATCCTAACATGGCAAATCCTAGGTCCAGGTTAGATGTCCTGTTACCTAGATCCCAACCTCAAAGTTTCCAGCCTTTTTGAGCAGTCATGAAAATAGATACTCAACAGTATCCATAAATCCAATATTCATTTATTTTGCAGATAGCACTAAAAAAGGCATGTTTTCTTTTGTTTTGCCACTATCAGCAAAACCATCAATTAAGAGCGTTCTACCTGTAGACGGGATTTCCTTTCTAGAGTTATGCCCATAAATAGTGACATGCCAAGCTGGCATTCTGCCTCTTTTAACACAACTATCATTGTCACCATCAGAGCCTTAATTGGGGTCAGCTACACAAATCATGTTCGGCTATTATGCTCTATCACAAGGGACTTCTCTTTTCTTTTTTTTTGGGCCAAAAAGGTCCATGTGCAAACAGAGTCTTATAGTGCATGCGTCTCGCCAAGCACAGTGAACTTGAACCTTAAAGAGTTCACTGTTTGAATAGGACAACCACAGAAAACTTCAAAGGTGATTTTGGAACCTTAGAGAGTTTACTGTTCAAATAGGACATTGTAGCATACGCAAACTATTTGTAGAATATAGTGCAGAAGTACAATATCAACATTCTCAGAAATGGCCTATGGTGATTAGAATAGATGACTGGAATTCTCTCTTCTGGGATTATCATTATTCCACAACGAATCTTTGAGAATGGATGGCTGATTCTCAACCCGTATAACATACAAGTGAGAATGGATTATTTTTCATTTATTTATCCATAAAAATGAGTGGAATAGTGCTTACCACTTTCTTGAATAATATAGCATTCCAAAAAAATAAAAATTTGTCATATACTTTCTATGTATTATGCTGTCTGAGTACACAATCAGAATCTCTGCCAGGAGTTCCTAACGGTATTTGCTAGAGATGAATGATACCAGTGATTAACTTTCTTGAATTATATAACATTCCAAAAAAAGAAAAAAAAAAAAAGAAGAAAAACAGGGGGTATGTCATACTCTTTCTGGGCATTATGCTCTGTGAATACACATAGGATTCTCCACCAGGAGTTCCTACTGGTATTTGCCAGAGATGAACGATACCAGTGATTAAAAAAAAGCAACTTGTGGCTCTCAAAATTTATTTACAGATAAAGCAGGATAGTTTACTTCTTCTCTTGAAACCGATTGATTTCCATTTTAGAATAGATGAATTTGGTAATCGGTGCTAAAAACTTCAAAATTATGTTATTGGTGCTCCAATCTTACTGAAAAATTATGGGACAGAATTTATCGTCATTGGGATTTTATTTTGTTCAAATTTTTCCATAAAATGAAGAACAGCAACAATCAGTGCCTTAAAGCCCGGAATCGGGTCCCAAACCATTCATTAGGTGAACTAGCTCAGATTGATGATTTCGACCACTTTAGAGCAATTTAGTCACATGGTGCTTGAAGGAAACTAGGAGAATGAAGTTTTTCAAAAATCAACCGGTTGTTCTATGTGAATAAATAAATGGCTTTGTCGCTCAGTTTTTTTAAATTTTCAAAAGTATATAACTACTGGGAGTTATATTAATGTCTGAGTACTGCACATACATCGCATGGTCTATAATGGACTAAGAACATATTGAAAATAGAGTAAATCAATAACGAAAGTTGGGGCATACATAAAACTTTATAGGGATGACAATGAAAATAAAAACACAATTAATATAATAAATTGATCATATGACCCCTAAAACATTCAAGGGCTAAAACTTTATAGGGCCAATGAAAATAGAAACACAATTAATATAATACATTGATCATATGACCCCTAAAACATTCAAGGGCTGTCAGGTCAGTTATTTTGAATCAAATGTTTACGATTCGATGTGCCCTTAACTACTCAAAAAATATTGTGGTATGCTCACAAAAATTTTTCTTTAACAAGAAGTGTCTTCTTGGAAGTTTAGAACGTCTTAACATTGTTCAAGTTCCTTGTTGGTAAAAAAATTGAACTTCAAACAAAACTTCAAGAAACTGTTCAAGTTCCAATACTTCAAACAAAACTTCAAGGAACTGTTCAAGTTCCAATACTTCAAACAAAACTTCAAAGAACTGTTTAAGTTCCAATCTTGCTTTAAAAAAAAAGTTCCAACCCAAGGGTTGGAACTTAAACTTGGAACTTTGTTTTTATAAACCCCCCTTGTATATATTATGTATATATTTTATTGTATAATATACAATATAATTTATTGTATAATATATAATATATTTTATTATATATTATATTTTATTTATATAATAGGTATTTATAATATTATATTATATATATATATATATATTAAAAATAAATATAAAATACAGTATATTATATATTATAGTATGTTATAAATATTATAAAATATAATAGATATTTATAATATTATATAATAAAAATATATATTAATAGAATAAATATAAAATACAATGTACAATATACTATATTATTTTATGTAAATATATAATAATAAAATAAATAAATATTACATTATTATGTTATATATTATAAATTTATGTAATATAAAATATTTTATTATGTAATATATATTATATGTTATATAATAAAATAAATATAAAATATACTATATTATATAGTATACGATGTTATATATATTATATAAAATATATATTTATCTATTATATATATATATATATATTTATTAAAAACAAATATAAAATACAGTATATCATATATTGTAGTATGTTATAAATATTATATATTTATATTTAAATTATTATCAATGTAAATATAAATATAAGATATTTACCATATATCCTAGAAGTTATCAAACACAGAAACTATGAACTTCTTAACTTCCCAGGGAAGTTATCAAACATAGAAACCATGAACTTCTTAAGTAACTTCTAATTTACAGTTCTTCAAGAACTTCCAACTTACAATTCATAAACTTACTTCCAGTTATCAAACCGGCCCTAGGAGACTATTTGATCTCCACATACCTCTCTTCCAAACATTTAGACAAATATTTTCTCTCACTATATTATCTCTATGTACCTCTCTCACCCTCTAAAGTTTTAGGCTAGGTTAGAAAAAATCAATCAACACCACATAGCTATCTTAATTGGTTTCCTAAAGTTCTCTTTTCTACTCTTTCATTCTAAAGATTTGGAGGGAGAGGGCAATTATCAAAGCCCATTTATGCCTTATACGGTGCTCTGGAATCTTCCTTAAAGGTCCCATACCAAACATCTTCTTCAAGGCTCAGGTCCCCTTTTATTCTTGCAACAATAATCCACCCCTTAACTCTGACTTAATTATGCTCCAAACTCTCACATACCGTGCATCTTCTCTAAGGCTAAGGTCCCTTTTTATTCTTGCGATGGGATTGATACACAAGAATTTTGAAATGTGTAATAGAAAGGATCTGGGTCGTAATAAATCGTTGAATATTTCAATTCAATACCGATACATAGGATTATCCCTTCCGGAGTCCTATATATGGATTGATTCCTTTACTGACGAGGTTGACTCCATTTGTTGGAACAGCTTCCGTTGAGTCTTTGCACCTATCCTTCTCGCTTTCTAGGAACCCTTACTTTCTTTAAACAAGATTTGGCTCAAGATTGCCCATTTCTCATTCCAAGGTTTCTCTGAATTTGGAAGCTACTACTTAGTAGGTTTCCATACCAAGGCTCAATTCAATAAAGTCAGCAGCATCTACCAATTTTGCCATATCCCCTTTGAAGTAAGACCGAGGTGGTTACGGTAGCTGGATCGAAAGCACGAGGTTCGAGAAAAAGCTATTAAGATTTTGTAGTAGGGAAGCATGGGTGGTCTCACAAACCAAAATAGGCTCCTGTTCGGCATATCCTACTACAAAATCTTAATAGCCTTTTCCAAAATCCAGCCAAAGTAATAGGAATTAGACCTACCATGATTCCAAATGGAAAAACTTCAATGATTTCAATTTGTTCGAAAGGGGAGAAAGAGAGAGGTAATATTATCATGTCAAGGAAGCCAATCACAAAATTCGTTACCCCATTGAAAAACATGTGGATTTGAAGAAATTATCTCATAAATATTGTGTTTTTTTAACAAAATTTCCTCAACTAAAGAAACCCACTAGCTTCGAGGAAGCTAATTCAAAAGTACTATGGAAGACTGCTATGAAAGAGGAACTTGTTTCGTGAAAGAAAAATCATACTTGGGATGTCATTACTCTTCCTAAACACTAGTTACTTTTTAATGTACATTAATTACTTCGGCATATAAATCACACAGTTTGACTATTAGCTCCACTTTTTATTTTAATGAACGGTATGGGAATTCTCAAGAAATCTGATCTTCAGTTTCATGTGGAGAAGTACAATTTTTTTGAGAATATGTTCATAGGACCAACTTCTACTTGTGGAAACTTCTATATTTATGCATTCTTTCCTTCTTTTGTTTCTTTTTTTTGCTTAGCGCAATCTCGCTTTTCATAACTAACCAATATCTAGAGGTACAATTTTTTCTTCACCAGGAAGAGTAAGATGAGAATACTGATATTTTCTCTCTTTCTACAATTCAAAATATGTAAGACATGAATAGTGTAGGTTGCATGCTGGGTTGATGCTTGATCAACCATTAGGTATGGATGGGCTCTGCAATCTTGTGGGAGACCAGCCATGCATAGTCATATTCTCTGAGAGTCCAATATTTTGAAAACACTTACTATGAAACTAACTTGTCGAAACTTGGGTGTGTGTTTTGCCCTAAATTGAACTGACAATGTATTGGGCTCATCCACCTAAGTAAATCCCAAGTGTACAGGACATGTTTGAGACCTATAGTGGATTCAATGCTTTGGCAAACACTGTGGCTATGCCTGCACGTTTGCATGAGCCTTAAGAATGATAGAACATTGAAGGAAGTTCAAATTCATTGGAATGCATGAGCCCTTAGAATGATAGAACATTTTGATACACCATTGGAGGAAGATCAACTTCATTTGAGTAGTGAAAGGAAAGAGAAAAAGAAAAAGCCATACATTACGTCTTAACAACTAAGTTAGTCGAAAATAAAGGTGAAATAGAAGCAAGCTCAAGCAAGGTGCCAAAACAAATTTCATAGAACACATGCCCCTCTCACTCTCTCTCTCTCCTTTTGTTGATTTTTTGCCTTACGAAAGTTGGCAAGTCTGTCACAATCAGTCTTCCTACGCCGGTAGGCTCGGCTCGGGCTTTCAATGAATCGGGCTTTCTATAGTGAATCCCTTCGCTTCGCTTATATACTAGACTACTTTTCTAACCGAAGGGAAAGAAGGAGAGCTAGATCGACTCCCGAGAGCTAGATTGACTCACCTGACCAACTCTGGGAGCCAAAATCAGCAAGCAGTAGGGAATATTATATTGATTTTGGTCAATTTTCCAAGCAAAGTTAGCTGAATGGCCCTATGGTCGGTGCCAACTGTTTATACTCAAACTCGGGTGTGGAAATTTCCAAGATCTCCCTTGTCTCTTAACATATGTTTAAAGTGACAAAATAGTAAATAATAGTAGAAATAATAAGGGCTCGTCAAAACACTATTTGTGAAGGATGAATCTTATGACTCCCTTGTGATCGGTTGTCGATCATGCCATCATTATCTTCCTTAGGAAAACATGACAGCAAAGGAAATTAATTAGCAATGAATTTAATACTAAAAACCCTAATAAGCAATGAATTTAATACAAATAGCAAATAATGTAGAGACTTTATTTGGCCTTTGGGAGGTTATTTGCCCAATATTATGGGCAGCACCTCACCCTTTCCCCGCTTCATTTCTCTTCTCTCTCTCTTTCCTCGATGGTGCGACACCAGAGAAAGAAGAACATTTCCATTGGCAAGAAAAATTACGGCAAACAGTAGGTGAGTTTTGGGGGAAAGAAAGTGGCCGGAAAGAACAGGGACCCGCTGGAAAATGGCCCCCCAAAAACGAAAACAAGCGGTGGCTTGCTTCAAGTTTGGGAAGTCGAAATCAAGCGAAAAAACAGTGCCGAAAGATGTGACAGTTACTGAAAGGACCATCGGAAAATTGGGTTCCCATCGGAATACAGCGGCGATTATGGTCATTTTCTTGCTGGAAATTGTGTCGTTGGGAAAGGGCGTGACAAAAGTGGTCAGCAGAGCCTCAATTTGGCAAAAAGAAGAGGTAAGATATTTAAAAGAGAGCTCAATTTGGGGTCGAAGCTTTGATTATGTGACCGCAATTTTAGCCAGATCAGTCTTTAATGTGTTTTCAAGGATCAGAGTCATCAGACTAGTTTTCTCCATTGAAACAGAGTGGAAGCGCAGTTCACCATTGCCTCGTAGCTTCTCTGCAACTGTTTACCCCACCTCCGAAAACCCAAATTATAGCAAGCCTTCAATGGTGAAATCAGGGCCATTAAACCCAAAATGAGAAGCTCTGCAACAAACCAGAGAGGCTCTTGAACAAACCCAAAATGAGAAGCTCTGCAACAAACAAAGGGTTTCTCTTAAATTGTTGAAATCGCACCACAAGAAAGAAACCATTGCTCAATCAATAAGGTGTGTTCGCATCAAAAGCTCCCCCACTTCCACCAAACTTCAAAGGATAAGGACAGAAAATTGTAGTCTCTTGTTTAAGAAGTGTGTAAACCATTGAATATATAGATAGGGAGTTTGTTAGAAAGGAAGTCTCAAAATATCTATACTCAGTCTAAGCTCAAACTTCTGGAAGCCAGTGGTTGAACCAGCGATCTTACATTCTTAAACACAAAGATTGGTGGAGTGACTACATCGAAAGGCTCGGAGAAGAAGAGAGCAAGGAACTGAAGTAAGAAGCACTTGTAAGATGGTTTTAATATGCCAATTTGATTGATGATTGGGTTACATTGAGTGGCTCTGTATAGAAGACAGAATACAACTGAAGTAATAGACCTCTAGAAGTTTGTTTCAGCATACCAAATCATATATAAAGCTCGGTAAACAAGATACAACCACATAAAATAAGAGGATAGTTAAAACAGGATCATTATGCAAAGAAATGGAAGTGCAAGTAGATAAAGTAGACGTTGAACGAAGAGGAAAGAGAGAGAGAGGTATAGAGAGACCATGGTTTTCTATGTTGAGAGAGTTTGGTAGTCTAGGCATAACAAAAACCAAATTAGAATGCAAATACATAGAGCTTTCTGCAAGTCTGACTTCCTAACCTGAACTTCAAAAAAAAGAAATCAAAAATAAATCTTATAGGTCCCTTCTCTGTAGAGTATGAAAATTTTGTCTCTGTAGAGTATGAAAATTTTGTTGCGGCTAGTTGATGAACATCCTGGCACCAGCAGAGGCTCTTGGGGACAAGGCCAACCTCTTTGCTATACTAAACTGTTCAACTGGTTTCACTTCTTTCTCATACTCAATTGTAAGTTTGTCCAACGCTATGGCATTTGATAGCAAGAATCCAATCAATTCCATCTCTTCTTCCAGGCCACTAAGATTCTTCACGTTCACTATTTTGAGGCAACCCAACCAATCAGGCTTCCTTGTTCTCAATTCATGGAAGCAAGTTCCATCGGTTTCATTAATGGGTTCTATTTTGCCATCAAGCTGGAAAAACAATGTCAGGGGAAAAGGTGTCAAGAAATCACAAGTAAATGAGAAAGGCACAGGATAAATAAATGATAAAAGCACCCAACAATATGTCTCATAAGGAAAAGAAAATAAATGATAAAAGAGCCCAAAAATGTAGACACACCCAACAATGTGTCTCATAAGGAAAAGAAAATAAATGATAAAAGAACCCAATAATGTGTCTAGAAAATAACGCTCACCCAAAGGGACAATGTTTCCAAAGAAGGAAAACTTCTTAGCAAGCAAAAGAAGCCTTGGACCTCATTATTTTCCCTCGTATTGAGACAAATATCTAAAGTTCTTAGAGAACAACGCGGGGTCGAGAGTATGCTGGCAGGTACATCTCCACTAAATAAAACCTGCACAAGTGCAAAATCAAATCAAAATCAAATCAATGTTTTCATAGTCAGCGCAGTTATTGGCGTCAGTTGCTTCCCGTTTTTAAGTGGATTAGGGGGTAGCTTTTTTTTTTTCTTTCTCTTCTCTTCTTTTCTTTTTATATATATATTATTTATTATATAACTTCGTCTTCTTTATT